GCTTTGCATCTCCGTGCCATCTTCGCTTCTTGCTACGCACGCCTTTTCTTGTATGCCTCTTTGTCTTCCTGCAAGCAATTGGCCGTGTAGTTGGGATTGTCGGATCAATGTGGTGAAAGCGGAAAGCCCGCACCACTTGAACGACCACCCCAATCACACGGAACGTTTGAACCGCCTCCTTCGATCCTCTTGGAACCTTGACGTTTCTTTTGTCCTCCTCATCTACACCCCTTGCTACCCGCACCTTGCGCTGGCACCCCGCCGCCTTGCTCGCTATAAATTCTCACAGCCCCTTCCTCTTCTCCTCTTTGATCTCGACTGCAATGCTACGCGAGCTATGCACGAGGGTCGCGGCGTCGAACAGGCTTGACGGGCCCAAGGACGGCCGAAGTGACGACGTGGGACAGGCTTCGCGATAGACTTGGGGTAAGACAGTCGGAGGAGCGGTGGTGAAGATCGAACGCTGCCAGCGGCAGGGCCTTGTGGCTATGGTTGGTGGAAGTTCAGATTGATTGGGGGCTATGCCTGATGGAGGCTAGTCGATTGTGAAATTTTGAATAGTGAGGGACTCACTTTTATCTCCATTGCTGCTTTGTCCAAGTGTGATGTGTGCAAGTTCTCGAAGTATGGGTATTCTGTTGTATGCATGTTGTGGTACGAGAGTCTATGGATGTTGAATGTCTGTCCAAAATAGTTGGATGAGTAGATGTGTGGGCGCTCATAGGGGCACTTATGGGGAATGGGGGGTGTCGAGCATCTGCATGGATGCATGAGTGTGTTAGATCTCCCTCTTTTCCCCGACCACCTTCCAATCCCGACGCCGCGTGTATGCACGGGATTGGTGCTAAACTCTTCCCTTTCGCGGGCCCTCTCCCTTCGTGCGTGCAGGAGATCTGAGGCAATTGGGCTGGCGTCGCCTCACAATTTACACTCGATAAACTTGGGAGATCAGTCGTCCGCGTCCCCATAACATGGCTGATATGTCCGCGACTCGAACGATCGTCTTGACGGATGCCAGCGTGGGCCCTTTCCCGTGCTCAACCTTCACATCGGTCCATCGCAGTGTGCTACTGTCCTTCCCAATTGCAGACGACGATAGCGTGTACTGCGATGCGGACGTGCGGAGCACTCTACGACGAACCGAGCAGATTCATCTGTAGAACCCCGCTAGGGCCTGCCACATAGGAGGGAGTGGTTTTGTGTTGATTGGTCGGTTCTCTTCCCCTCCCCTGATACTACTACCCTACACCGATCTGGCAGTGTTGCCCTGGTCCGCAGCCCATGCCATATGGCGGCCTCGGTTTAATTGCCGCTGGTGTCGTCAGGGGATTCGTGTTCCTGGCGAAGACTAGTCCTGGGATACGAAGGTGCGGCTCGATTCCCAGAACTCTCCCGCAAAGCGGCCGCGCTCCTGGCTAAGTTTTGAACCTGGGTTCCCTCCGCCCAAGCGACACTCGGTGACACCACGCTAGGACACCTGCGCGAGCTCGACAAATCTGACACCGAGGCCTGAAAATTCCATATTCTCGAGCGGCCGCCACAAAGTTCGCGCGAACCTGGCGCAAAAGGGAAGCCATAAATTCTGCTTCCTTGTCCTTTTCTTTTCCTTTTCGGGTTTTGTTGATGGTCGACCAAGTAGCGCACAGCTTTCCGTCTCCTCGACGAGCGTAAGTTTTTGAAAGCAGGACAGAGCGGGTCGCTTCGGAATAGTCTCTCTCTCCATCCCTTGTATCTTTTGCCATTAACTACAGCCCAAGTTTGAGGAATGCCTTGGTACAAAACAAGAATCCCCTGTTCTGCCCGGGCGATTCAACCCCACCGGCCAAAAATCCTCGACCACACCCCCATTTTACTCTGATCGCCGTCCGCAGGTATGTGACGACGTGCGGGGTGTGAGGTTGCGCGTTACAAACTCTTAAGGGCCTAAAATGAGACCTTTCTTACTCGTTTCGTGCACTCCAATGGCAGAGTGACCTGGGGTCATGTCCCACTTGCAGGAGTACTAGATTAGGATTAGGACACTGTGCTCCGTGTGAGAGTTGATAGAGCCATTCATTCCGTTTTGATTGCAGCATTAGGAAAATTAGCCCGATTTCGTAGTTAATATGAAGCATGGACTGAACATCTGTTCTGGTACAGATAATGCATGTGGGGATCTGAATGTTCCAGGTACAATTAGACGGGAAATAGGAAATTTCCGGCTATATGGAAATTTTCTGTTTTGAATGTGTGCATATATGATGTGCAGCCAAACTACTAGTTCATGTTAGATGTAGGTCTTTCTTCACCACTCCTCAAAAGTGAAAAACTTTGTAGGGTTGCTGTTCATGACTTGGAAAGTGGTGCAGCCCCAATTTTCCCTTCACCACAGGACTGCACTCTCCAAAATCACACCTTTCCTTTCATCACCGCACTTTTGGAGAGCACCCCTACCCAATGAAAAACCAGTAAAACCAGAAAAGGGACAGCGAAAAATTGCCAGGCGAGTTGCGACTCCAGGCCCATTATCCAAATCTGGAGCCGCCGAGGAGATGGCAGCCGAGCACTCTTCAAAACAGTGGTGTTGCAGGCTGGCAACTCTCCAAGTTCTGGAGAGCACTTTGTAAGGGCCAGTTCTGACGACCCTTCAAATTTATTTTCCTTTGTCTGTGACTCTGTGTGATGCTGGAAAGTGGGGCATGGCTCCAATTCTCCAAATCCAAAAACACCATTTGGAATGTAGCTTCCAAAAAACAAAAGGAATGGAGAGTAGCCGCCACCCACCTATAGAAAGGGGTCATCTACCATTGCGGGCCCTGGATCCAAGGGATGCTGCTATTAGCCCCTCTTAGACGGTGGCGAGGCCAACTGAGAAAAACGTAGTAGTTGAGTGAGTGAGCTCAGTGAGGGGCCCTCCTTCCTTTTATTTGGTCTTTTCCTTTGGAACTCTGATGTTTGAGGGCCATGTTCCCCCAAAAGAAGAAAAGGTAAGGAAAAGGGAGAAGACCATATTCCCACAAAGAAAGAAGAAACAAAAAGGGGGGAACTAAAAAAAAAAGTGAAAAAAAAAAGGGGGGGGGAACTAAGGGCTTACTTACTCTAGGTAGGAGTTTTTCCAGTTCTCTGTGGACATAGTAACTGCGGTCAGGTGCATCCAGGCCGGATCGGAAAAGGGGTCATATTCATCAAGGAAAGTCCCTGGCCTCTTCAGGGCAACCATGGCTGACCACTTCCGCGATCAATGTGAGCCTAGTAACTGGCCTCTACGACTGTACTTGAACGGGGATCTGTTCTGTAGGTTGTGCACTTTCCTGTATCTATGAATACAGTAACTGGCCTCTAAAAAAAAAAAAAAAAAAAAAAAAGAGTGTGAGTATGCCCTAACAGCTACTATTTGCTGTCGCTGACATTTTGCCACCCGTCCAGGATGGGGTCCTTCTGTCTGGTCTAGAGTCCCTTTAGCCGATTGGACGTGCTTGGGAAGGGACAAGCTGCCATCCTGGGCTGGTGCAATTGGTACAAGGTGGTCGCCCGACTCTGGGATTTTTTTTTTTTTTTTTTTATGAAGTAAAAAATGGCAACTAAAAAAAAAAGACAATTAAAAAAATGGCGACGGCCATGGCTTATATCATAAGGGAACCGAACGGGTCGGGTTTCGCTCCACTACACAACACTGTACATGCATTTGGACACTTTATTGACCCGATACATTCACAACGTTGGAATCGCCCGAATGCACCGGGTCGTATTAGCATCCAAATGCATGTACAGTGTTGTGTAGTGGAGCGAGGACGTAAGTCTGCTTCACCACACGCCTACAGCTGGGTATTGGCCCGAGCATGTGTGTTGTACCGGGTTGTATTGTTGAGGTGTATTCCCGGGCCTCTGTCTGTTTCTCATTGGAAATGAAGTTGAGAGGAATTAAAAAAAAAAAAAAAAAAAAAAAAAGTCTGCTTGTCAACACCTCGGGCGTGGTCCCACTAGCAAAGAGGATCGGAACGAATGGCCAAATCTGGACGTGAATGAGGACAGGTGCAGGAAATCGAGATGGAACTGCTTTTCTGCACCTCTGCATAAAACACGTCCAGATTCAGGAGCTTGATCCTATCGTCTTTGTTAGTGGGACCTCGGCCCTCGTGGGTGCACCATTCAGCCTGAGCTCGTGCGACGGGCTGCTCTGGGAGTTCCACTCCTCTGCCATCCAAGGAGACGTTCTTTTCTTTTTTTCTTTTTTTTTGGGGGGGGGAGACGTTCTTTTCACGAGTGTGTGAAATTCGCTGGCAAAAAAAGTGCGCGCACTCGTTTTTTTTCATTAGGGTTTTTTCGGCGCCCTCCGTTTTTGATGCCTCAATTTTGACGCCAAGTGTGGTTTTTGGTTTTCATATGATTGCCGCCCGCTGGGGTCCCCGCTCGCGCCCACGCACAGGTCCGGCGGCTCGTTGCAGCTGCTAAGGGCCTGGCTCCACCACTCTCCAAATGTGCAAAATGAGAATGAATCTTCTGCTAGAACATGGAACCATACATCACCATGAGTTTTGTCGTTTGTGTATGTGGAAAGTACCGGTAGTAGAGCGATGCCCTTAAACCACAAGCCACAGCAACACAGCGAATGTCCGGCGGCAAGGGCTGGATCCCGCTGGCGCGGCTTATATATTTACGAGCGATACCCATTGCCGTCGATCTTCCCTATCTACGGCCACTTGTCTGTCTCCTCAATCGGAGCGCGTACGTGTGGCCTCAATTGTCGCCCCGGTTCTCTCGCGCATCATCTCCGGCGGCAGGTTGGTTATTTCTTGTGGCGGCCTTGCTCGCCGTGCGGAAGGAATACTTTTTCCTTCCAAAAGAGAAGGAAAGGAAAGGAATACTTCCAAGGCAACAACTGATTGAGCATATGAGTTGGGCAAGCAATTCGTAACGGGAGGCAAATAACAATTGAGTTTCTTCGAGTTTAGGCAACGGCGCAGCCAGAACGGCAGGATTTTAACGAATTCGAAGACCGCGGGGGCGGTGTGAGTGCGAGTGTGAATGTGTATGGCGGGTGTGCGTGTGTGTGTCTGTGCATACATGTGCGGCTGCTGCGGTACCTGCATTGGGCAGCCGCCGCTGACACCGCTGTAAGTAGTAGCGTGGTTCTCAGCGTTCCTGTTCTCACACAGGCACACAGGCACATAGGCACATCTACAGCTTCTCGCGACTTGCAGGAGGCTCCTTTTCTGTTGTTCTGGTTTCACCGTCAGCATATTGTTTCTTCGCTGAGAAGAAAGTCCGAAGAGAGAGAATAGAGAAAGAATAGAGAGAGGACAGAGAAAGAATAGAAAGATGGACAGAGAGAAGACGATAGAGAGAAGACAATAGAGAGAAGACGATAGAGAGAGAATATGCTTTGCTTCAGTAGTCCATCTACTTGTCGGCGGTTTGTACATGTATGATGGTCTTCCTAGTGCTGCCGGGTTGTACCTGTCATGTCTTTTCTCTTGTAGTTTAAACAGCTCTGTCTCGAGCCAAGGCCTTCCCTTGGCTTTGCCTTTTCCATTTGCCCCGGCCTTTTTGCGTGTCTTCACTGGGGCGTTGATGGCTAATTAGAGTGCTGAGGAGCAAGGAATAAGGGCGTTGAAGTCTGTCGCTGCGAATAGCCGGGGCCCGGGAGTGGGTGATTGACCACAAGTCCCGAAGCGAAGGAGCGCGGTGGCGGCATCGGCCGGCAATTACCCAGTAACTCAACCTGGCGACTCCGTCGGCGGACGGTGGTGATTACGCGTCGTCTTCTGATCTTTCTGAAAGTGAGCGTGTGGTTGGTGGTGCCCCTGAAGTCTCGCTGGAGGGAAATCCAACTCAAGCAAGGTATGGAAGGGACGCCCAGTGACTCAATCAAATGGTTCTCCCCTTTTCCCTCCCCTTCTGTTTCGTTCCGTCATATCTTCTCCTTTTTTTTTTCTTCTCTTGTGGCCATGCCAAGCAGCCGATTTCTCTCTCTCTCTCTCTCTCTCTCTCTCTCTCTCTCTCTCTCTCTCTCTCTCTCTCTCTCTCTCTCTCTCTCT